ATCTCTCTTGAGAATCTAAATTATTACTTTTTAATGCTTTAAAATTATAATGATTTTTGAGGTGTTATTTATCTTACTTTTTGCTTATGTATTTTGTATTTCTACTTTGTTTCAAAAATTATTTGCTATACTATGAAATATGTATATTAGGTACATACCATACAGCTATACTCTGATACATACTGGGGGATATGGTTATCCAGATTATACAAAGAGAGGTATAGGTGAACCTGAATTTAAGACTGTCCTCCATTTCAAACTCTGGAATCATCAGAAACTTGATGTAAAAACTTGGATCCAGACAACATTTTTTTTTAAAGAATAATCTTTTTTTAAATGTTCCTCTTGTGTAGATACAGTCTGTCTATTTCTCTGTAGGAGAGAGATAATCTTTTACATATTGCTGGCAATTAATGCTGAGAATATTTGACAGTAATTTATGGGTTAAAGAATCACACTGGTAATCCTTACTAGTTGATGGAGCACAAAAGGGTAAAACAGATAACGAAGCTCTCAGTATTCATTCTTTTGTTCAGAAAATATGTGTAATTCAGGTACTATAACCATTGTTCTATGTGCTTCAGATTTTTAAAATTTAATTGAAATGGGTATATTCTAGAAAGCCTTCCTTAGAAACATTATCTTCTTCCAGCATTCATCTTGCTAAAATATCCAGTGACTTTAGATAAAAACTATACACAAATAGGAATTATTTTCAATAAACTTGGATTTTGAGAGCATCTCTAATTAGAGGTCAAATAATATAATTCAATACAATCAGGTAAACACTGTGACATAAGTTCTGCTTTTCATGGGCATCTTTCCTCCCAGGACACCCTGTTTTGACTAACTCTAGTATCCTTAGTTCTTTATAGATATGCGTGAAATTTGAGCAGTTTAAAAACAAATAAATAAAAGCCTCCTGAATTTCTATGTTCTCTCCCTGGTATAGAAATTAAGACCAAGGCTTTAAAAATTATCAAGTGAAGTACATAATCATAGAGCTGCTTGAAGTGTCCTGTTCCTTCTACTGTCACCCAGGATTGGGAGGTATTTAATAGAAGGTCTTTCATGCCTTCTGTTTAAGGTGGTCTTGTGGCCAACTTCTATTTTTAGGAAAGATACTTTCTGTGTCTCAGCACACAGCATGAATACACACTTCATTGTTTTCTCTGGTAAGCCCCTCAAAGCAGAGAAATTCACAGTGCTTTAGTGTGAACTTACACATGGCTGAAGAAATAGGGCAGGGGACAGCAGGATATCTATAAATCATTTGCCAGGGACTATCTGTAATATTGTTCAAATCTCACAGGAATACTGAACTCTTCTAAAGATTGGCTAGACTGGAGCATATAGTAACTGATGGACATTTATGCAGATTTGTGTTCTCTCTGTTGAAATCATGTTGAAAATACAGCTAGAAAATGCTCGTTTCAACCTTTCCCCCTTTCAAAGAAGTGTTAAAAACAATCATTATCTAGGCCTAAAGACTATATTGTTGTACTCTCCAGATACTCAGTGTAAGTAATAATCATCATTTACAGTGCTCCTTGAACCTAGTTTTCATCCTTATACCAAGCTTATTTTCCTAGCAGATTTTCCAGTTAAATGAGAGCATTTGCTGTTCTTTGTATGATAACTTTTGACAAAGAGTTTGTGTACATTATTCAAGGCACAGATACACTTTTAGAAATTCTGTAAAAGTAGGCAGCTCTGTAGTGATTATTTGACTGACAATAACTCTCAAAAGAAGGTTATGAAATATATTTGTCTTCCATGAGCATAAATGCTGAATCAGAATTTTACACTCTCAGATTTAACACAAATAACAGACTTCTTGTTTAAAAATAAAAAATAAAAATTTCATTTTGATGAATAGTGACTTAAGGAAATAGACAATGTCAAGTCAGTTTATGCAGGTTACATAAATCTGATATAAACACAATTATATATTCTAGAGGCCTAGTGCATGAAAACTTGTGCGGGGGGTTGGGATGGGGAGAGATGGGAGGGTCCCCTCAGCCCAGCATGCCCCTCCTCATAGTCTGGGAGTCCTCACGGATGTCTTACTGATGGCTTAGGCCCACTCCCCTCTGCAGGAGGCGACTGACCAATCAGGTATATAGATACTTTCTGGAGGCAGCACAGACTCCTTCCTTATTTCTTTCCTCTGTGGTTGGAGAACAGGGGACTAAAAGGAAACAGAACTGTGGCAGGACCTGGGGTTTTTGTAGACAGCGGAAAGAGGGAGAGGGCTGGGGAAAATCTAGACACATTTCCTTCATTTTCCTCTCTTCCTTCAGGCCCCTCCCTCTGTTTTATCCTTCTCGTAGTGGACACTCGGGCCTTGGACCAACCAGAGCACAGGCAGTGCCACATCCCAGGTCAAGGACACAGGCAGACAGTATCACGTCCCTGGCCAGCGATGCAGGCAGGCAGCTTCACCTCAGCACTGAGTAGGATGTTAGTGCTGGTCATGCACATTGACTGGTCGTGACTTAGATACCATAATGGACAAATTAGCATATTACCTCTTTAATATATATATATATATATATATATATATATATATATATATATATATATATATATATATATATATCCAGTCCTGGAAAAATATTTGAATTACTCCTTGAGATTGAAGTTCACAAAAAAGAAGAACAATTACTTAGTTTTCAGCCTCATGAGTGTTTCATACAAACATCCCTGGAATGATTATTAAGTTATTTGTTTAATAATATTATACTTTGAGGAATTATTAAATTCAGTTTTCATTTCATAGTTAATGCTTTTGAATGTGTAATGTGAAATTCACTCTACTAACTGATAAACATATAGTAAATTAAAAAAATAATTTTTACTTTTGTAGTTTAGATACTTGATTCAAAATTAGTAAAATCAAGATAAGTAAAACTGAAAGAATTCAACACAGCAGGCTAAGAAATTCTCATTTTAGTAAGTTGAAATGAAAAGAGAAAAGGCGCTAACAAATATATTGAGGTGAGAGTTGCACTGAGCTGTCTTAGAAGCTGAGGCTAAATGGAATGAATTTGTTAAATGCCTAAGTCACCAACAATGGCAGTACAGAATGGACAGTAAAATCAACTCCATTTTTCCCCTTTATGCTGATATCCCTTTATCCTTTCTCCCAACAATTATTTATTCCACATCCACTTCATGTGCACCTATAGTATGCAAGGTGCAATATGGAGACAACATGTATTACCCAGAGAAAAGGTAAGTCTTGTATACAAATAATTAAAATGTGAGAGTATATCCTGACATAGATCATAACTTTTATCACAGGAAGGTCCATGGGAGAATGTGAGTTCTTCTACATTTATGATTTGGTTACAAATTTATTCAGCTATATTTTGGGTTTTGACTTCTTATTTCCTTTATTATTTTATTGCATTTTAGTTTGTGAATATGGTCTGTAAGATATAAATTATTATAATATTTTTGAGACTTCCTTTGTGACTCAATAAGTGATCAAATTTGCAAATGTCTTAGGCTTGAAAACAATATGTTTTCTGTAATTACTCAGTGTCAGGTTTGATATGTGTTTATTAGATTAAATTTATTATTTGTTTTGTTGAATTATCCTATTTCTTCACTAATTTATGTTTGCTTTGTAATTTTTATGAGAAGTAAATTAAAATATTTTAACTGTAGATTCATCAGTTTCTACTTTTGTTTTGCTTTGTATATTTTAAGGATAAGATTTTAGGAACATACAGGTTCAGGACTATTATACTTTCTGGGTGGATTTCTTTTTAGCATTGAGTAATAACTGTTTCATCCCTGATAATGGTTTTTGACTTAAAATCCGATTTTTTTTCTAACAACAATATTGCTACATTGGATTCCTTCTATTAATATTATCGATATAGTATATTCTATCTCCTTTCAATTTTTCTATCACTATTTTTTATAATTATACCTTTGTTGAAATATAATTTATTCACTCTTACAGTTCATTGAATTTTAGTATAGGTACAGTTGGGCAACCAATACCACTATCTAATTTTAGAACATGTTTTCATTATCCCAGAAGGAAACCACATACTCATTAGCAGTCATTGCCCATTTCTCTCCTCTCCAGAGTCCCTGGCAACTATGTGTCAGATAAATGTAACAGACATGTGGCCTTTTGTTTCTGACATTTCTGACTTTTCACTTAGCATAATATTTCAAGATTCATCCTTATTGTAGTACTATTTGTCTTTACTTCTTATTTTTAAAGACTGAATAATATTCCGTTGTATGGTTATACCACATATTGTCTATCTACTGATGGGCATTTGGGCTGTTTCTACTTTCTGGCTATTATCAATAATGATGTTAAGAATGTTCATGTACAATTTCTGTGTGGACATATATTTTTATTTCTCTTGGGTGTATACCTCGCAGTGGGATTGCTAGATCATAGGGTAACTTTACATTTAGCATTTGAGGAATTGTCAAACTGTGTTCCAAAGTGGCCTTACCATTTCACATTCTCAGTAATGTATGAAGGTTCTAGTTTCCCCACATTCTTCATTGTATCTTTGCTGAATCTTTAAAACCACAGTCCCAAGTTCTTTGTGCCCTGTCCTGGTGCAAATTCCTTGCGGCCCTCACCATGCTAATTCCCACCTATATGGTGTTGCACTCCTCATGTTTCTGGCACATACATGTTTCTTTTCCTTTCTTTAATGGTCATATATGAATTAAGACTTAAAAATAGTTTTACTTAGTATTTTTATGTGTATGTGAAGGTGACAATCCTGGATGCAGGGCATAGTATTCATCTGAATCATCCCACCTTTTCTGGAAGTTGAGCAGATTAGTGCAATTGCAGGACTGTGAAGTGGTTGACTTAGAGTGTTGGGTGTTGTTCAGAGCTCTGGTCCAGAGCTCTGGGCTAAATTACTGGGTCCATATAGGATCCACTATTTTACTGAGCTCATCCAGTCCCATATGAATTATCTCATCTTTTTTGTTGTTGTTATTTACAGTTGCCAGTTTCCAAAAATAATACTGAAACAAAAAAGCCCAAATTCAGAAAAAGGAAAAGGTATGTTTTTTTTTAAATTAAAAAGTATTATAATAAAATTGAAATATATATTGGGTCTACTTATTATATGGCATTTCCCCCTGGCTCTTGATTCTGTTTCTCTTGGGAGACAATTGGGTTTAAAATTTTCTAAAAGATTTAATAAAATGATGAGTAGTAGTTTTAGAAGTATGGATGTTTATACAAACATGTTGAACCAGGACTTTCAAAGATTAATATCATGAGAGCAACTAGATGAGAAGCAGGTTTTCAGTTTAAATAGGTAATGGAAACCAGAAACAGGTCTTTATATGAACTAATAAGTACTGATGACAAATTTTAGTGTTTATCATTGAATAAGCCATGGTTTGTTTATTTATTTATTTTTAATGAATGGAAATCAGTATTGTATTAAAGAGAGTCCTAGCCGAAACTGGTTTGGCTCAGCGGTAGAGCGTCGGTCTGTGGACTGAGAGGTCCCGGGTTTGATTCCGGTCAAGGGCATGTACTTTGGTTGTGGGCACATCCCTGGTGGGGGGTGTGCAGGAGGCAACTGGTCGATGTTTCTCTCTCATCGACGTTTCTAGCTCTCTCTCTCTCTCTTCCTTCCTCTCTGTAAAAAATCAATAAAATATATTTTAAAAAAGAATTTAAAAAAGTATAAAAAAAGAGAGTCCTACTCAAAGAATAATTCTGATAGTCCTTTTTCAGAAAATGAATAAAGTTTTAAAAATGACTTTAGCTGCCTTATTTCATTTATATTTTTCAGAAACACCATCAAAATAGGTAGGGGGAGTACCACAGTCATCTCCATTTAAAAGGTGAAGAACTTGTGGCTTAGAGAAGCTAAATGGCTTTCTCAAGATCTTATGGTTAGAGAAAATGTGTTTGGACAAATGTTTTCTGACTCTTAATCAACAACACCATGTAGTGGAATAGCATGGATTTTGCAGTCAGACAGAATTTAGTGTGTCATGCTCAACCACTTACCTGTGTTGTCAAGTTGTTCAACTTCTCAGAGCCTCGGTTTTTTTACACAATGGGAGTAACAATTACTTAGTACGTTTCTGGGGGAAGGATTACATGAAAAAGCTTATGTAAGGTGCTTGGTAGATTATTAATGCTTTTCACCTAGAGAGAGACCAAATCAATACTATTCCCCTTTGGTTTTTCACTGTATCATACTGTCTTACAATATAAAACAATGAAGAGTATTTTAAGGTAAATATATACTCACTAAAGGCCCAGAGTACAAATTTGTGCCCGAGTGGGGTCCCTTGGCATGGCTGGTGATCAGGGCCAATCGGGGCTGGCCAGCCTTGGGGAGGGACCCTAGGTGCAGAAGGAAGGGACTGCAGGAGGTTGGCTGTGGGAGTGCACTGACCACCAGGGGACAGCTCCTGCGTTGAGCATCTACGCCCTAGTGGTCAGTGCACATCATAGCTACTGCTGGTTGTCCAGTCATAATGGTCACTTAGGCTTTTATATATAGATAATTTATTGTTACCAATGCATATCCATGAATGATTTAAATATACATGACTGATTATTTCAAACTAACTATGTCACATTTTTTTTTCTAGGAAAGCTAGTATTTTAAAATGCTGTTTTGAAAATGTTTGTTCAGATGATGCCTTATCAAAGGAAAATATGGGTATGTGAAGGCCTGTCCTGCTTTCAGCTCTTTACTTCTATTTAATTCTACCAAATATTGTTGTAGTCCTTTAAAGAAAAATAATGTACATATATACATGTCTGCGAAACATTAGTGGGTTATCTTGGGTATTGATTTACATTCTAGGGCTTTTCAATTGTCTTTACATTTGTATTCTTTTTAATTAAATGTTCTCTGTTTTTAGCATGTACCGTCTTCTTTTGGAATCTCTGCAAGCACTTCTTTTTGGGCCATCTTTTCTATTAGTTTACTGCTCCAGATTTGCTGTTTCTTTATGAAGCTGTTCTCTACCAATTGTCACCCCCTCACACACACCTCAGAGATCAGGAGGAAAGCTAATTATGTGCAGCTTCTCTACCTCCCCAACTATCCGTTTCTTCCTCTGTAATCAAGAGATGCAGTGAAAGCTGGCTTATCCAGCATGGAGAGGACTGTTTCTGCAAATAATTAAAAAAAAAATAAAGTACCAGCAGTTGTGGGAAGAAATATCAGCAACAATACATTTCAATCCAGACCCTCTCCATTCCAAATGGAGTGGAGTGCCAAAGGGAGAGAAGGAAGAAAAGTGGCAGCCTGGGGCTCCCAGCCGAATAGCCGCTGGTATTAGAACACAGTAGGTGAATGTGGAATGCAGGGAGAAGGTTTTAATTTCAAAAGTGCTTTATCCTTTTGTACATTTTTGTGTCTTGAAAAGCAGGCAAATGCTTATTTGCAAGATGGAACTTAGGCAGCCTTATAGAGGTTTCAAAGCACAGTAAACCCCCAGAAGTTATTCATGCTGCTCTCCCTTTCACTTGTAGCCATGACCAGAACCCTATGGTGCCGTGTTTCAATTAGCTAAATAGTTACTTATTTATAGTCTCATCTAAAGAAAGAAAAACAGGCAGAGAAAGGTTGGGATAGTTATTATTACTTTTAATCCTTTATTCTTTTCATAAACTATAAAATACTATTGTTTCTATCTCTTCTCTAAATTAAAAGGCTGCTTCTTTCCTTTTCATTTAGGTGCCCTTTTGGGCTATTTTGTCCCTTTGCCTCACAAGATCAGTTCGAATATTCCTGTAGCTTATCCCTGCCTGAGTGCCCACTAGGAAGCCCTGGCACTGCAGCTGAGGGCTCCATCACTGGGATCCTTCTGCCCTCCAACTTGCAAGGGGTACTGCATAAGAAACCCAGTGCCATCGGGAGCCCATTGACAGGAAGTGACTCTTGTGTGAAAACGAGTGAATTCATCTAAGGACTTATCCATGGGAAGGGAAGCCTTTTTAGAGGTCTCACATCCTGTGTGGCTTTAAAAGCCTCAATGTTAATTGTTAAAATAGCCCAATCTGTGTTTTACTTCCTCCATCTCATTTGAAAATCTGAAGAGCAGAAACATCTAGCCTACAGTTTTCTTTGCAAGAGCTTCTACATATTGAGAGAGTAGTTATTTAACAGAAGTCTAGTCCTCTTCAGATATTTTACCTTTCTCCTATATTTCTATGGATTCCTAAATGCAAACCTCCAATATCTCACATTTATTCTTAAGGCAGAGTCAACCCTAGATCAAGTAATATAGGAAATTTATATCATCTTCTTCTGGAATCTCTGCAAGCCTTATTTTTTTGGACTAGCTTTCCTATTGGTCTTCTGATCCAGATTTGCTGTTCTTTTATGAAGTTACTAAAGGCCCAGTGCATGAATTTGTGCTTGGGTGGGGTCTGGCCGGCCTGGCCCCAATGGATTGGATTGGGACCAGTCCTATCGGGAGAAGAGATTGGGAGGTTGGCTAGCAGGCTCACCCTGATTAGGGGCAGATCAGGGCAAGGCTGGCTGGGGGGAGGGGCCGCATGAGATTGGCTGGTGGCGCTCCCCCCCCCTTTGGGCCGGTTCGCTAGCCGCAGTGGGTGTCATAGCGACCGATCATTCTGGTCCTTATGGTGTTCCAGTCACTGGTTTATATATATATATTCTCTACCAATTGTCACCCTCACACTCACCCCAGAGATCAGGAGGAGAACTAATTAAGTGCAGCTCCTTTACCTCTCCAACTATCAGTTTCTTCCTCTGTAATCAAGAGATGCAGTGAAAGCCAGCTTATCCAAAATGGAGAGGACTATTTCTGGAAATAAAGTAATTTTTGTGAGGCAAAAGGACAGAATAGTTGAGAAAAAGTTGAGTAATCATTAAATAATTTAAACTGTATACCCATCACTATGTAAAGATTTAATCTAAAATATAACTATTTGTGGAACATGTCTGTATTTTTTGGAAAATTGATACCAGGAATATCATGTATTATACAGGGTGGGGCAAAAATTAGATTTGCAGTTGTGAGTATGTGAAACAGAGTTTATTCTTGTATTGTTATTAATTATTATATTATTTTTCATATGAGCAACTATAAACCTATTTTTGCCCCAACCTCTATTTGTATTATCCCTATAATTCATTTCCCCCAGTGTTTAGGGATAAGAAAATGCATCTATGATGATGAAATATAAATAGCAATAAAAATAGCAATGAAAACCAATACTTATAACAATTTCTATATATCCTCACTCTTTTAATTATTTTATGTATTAGTTAACCCTTGTATGAGGTTGATAAAGTAGATATTATATCTCCCATTTTATTGATGAGAAAACTGAGGTACTTAGGAGGTTTTATGACTTTTCTAAGGTCACATTTTTTCTTAAAATTAATCAAAGTGTGAAGCTATTTCTTTGGTTGCTTTAAGTACCAGGAACCTTAAAGCTATTTTTTTTATGTACACCACTAGTATAACTACTGGTCTAAGCATTTTAAAATGTAATTATTGCCATTAGTATCCCCTTTAATGAATTGATTTTTATTTCTTTTAATATTTTAGTTTTTATCATTTTTCAAATTATAGCACCATTTTCTGTTGGTAAATAGCTCCTTTCTTTTCAGTGAATAATCAGTCTATAAAAGTTTGATTAAAAAAGATATTGACATATTAATAATTCCCAGGGAAACTAATAATCTATTAGCATTCATTATTAAATTAGCAAATGATGTATTCATAATCAACTTGGGACATGTAAGCATGGAAGGGGATGGTTAATATAGAAAAGGCCTGCATCGTGAGGTGAGTCCTATCAAGAGCATGAAGAGCTTGGAGGTAAAAGGGGTGACAAGGAGAGAGGTGATATCTTACTACTCAAGACAAATCTTACCTCTTGGTAAGATGTGATTGGTCTTCAATCTCCTTGTACAAAGCCTGGTGCTTCCAATTTCTGTTTGTATCCTCAGGAATGATGCTGTCTTCTCCATTACATTTCACCCTGTATTTTACTCATCTCTATATTCATTATAAGCAGACAAAGGAGTGTTTGTGGTTACTCAAAATCCATACAAAACCTAGTTTTATGAAGAATGCCTTCTAAACGTCCTTATTGAAATGTCCCTGCAAATTTATTTAATATGATATTTTTTAGTGCCAGCTTTGGGGTGACCCAACCAGTAGCCTTTTTACATAGGAAGGAAACATTTAAACATTTAATAGAGAAGTAGAGTTGAAAGAAAACTCCATAAATATGCATTTGAAAGTTTTGAAAATAGTGACTGATTTATTAAGACAAACAGCATTTCTCATTGGGAATGGAAAAACAATTTGATTTATTTTACAAAACTTCATTTTTAAAAGCCAGATATGGACTTCAGTATGAGATTTCTTTTTCACTTTCTCTGAGTGATGGAGCAGCTGAAAATGCTATCATTTTACTTTGAACAACAAATTCAAAGAAGTCAGGGAAACTACAGGATAATCAGTATTGATAGAAGATGATTGTTCACACAATCAGCAAAGGCATTTATTCTGTCTCTATCTTTGGAAGCTATCATTGACCAATTTTGATAACCTAGTTTGTAGATTACAGTAACTGCTCTTTCTTGAGAATTATTTTTGAACTCTATCAGTTCACAAAATAGGAATACCTATTTAGAAAAGCAAAGCTCCTGTGGCTCTGGAAACAGGATTGACATCCATCAAGTTGGTATTATGGACCCTGGTTGATTTATGAAGTCATCCATTACTTTATCTACCCTTGTTCAAAAAGCAGTGTACATATTTTTCCAGATCACTTGAAAACAGAGAGCATACAATGCCATTCAGCACCGATGTTCATTATCATAAATTGATTGTATTTTAGCATAGCTTTAGAAATATAAAGATGTTTTTGTGCCATTTTTCCTTGATAGCATAGCTCAAAAATCCATCTTCTCAACCATGCATTAAATGTCAGTGTCAATAGCCATAGACTCAGAAGCAGGAAAACATAACGCCTATGAGTAGCACTGGAGAATCAGTGTAAAGTAGCCACAAGTAGTGGTCTGTTAAGTAACAAGTTACTAAGTGAAAAGTTTGTCATATATTATATAGAGGTCAATTTCATTAACAAAATTGCTACAGCAAAAATGTACATCCTCTAGAAAATTCTGGACATAGGGTAGCTTTCATATTTTTAGATAAACTCTCCAGGTGATTCTTATGTCCACCAAACTTTGAATACCGTCGTTCTAGAATGTGATAGTTCGGATTTCATGTTCTTAGGCTCTAGCAGTTACCATAGAACACAGATCTATGTGGATGAAACATATCAATTCCAGTTTTTGCTTGTTTTAATTTTGAACATAGGAACTGGCACGAAAGTGTGGACTGGCATATCAGAATGCTGTTTTCAAGCTGTTTTGAGAAACCTAAGATTGGTTGTGAAGATATGAGGACCAGAAAGTCTTATTGGTCTAAACCTATTCTCTTGAGTCCCTGGCCCTTAGTAGGCACAGAATAAATATTTGTTGATTTAATATAAAGAAAATTGGGGCAAGCAATAAATATTGACAGAAAAAATTCTGTTGTAGCCAAAATTACAATGTGCCTTGGCTGGTGTAGCTCAATTGGTTGAGCGTCATCCCATGCAATGAAAGGTAGCCTGTTCGATTCCTGGTCAGGGTGTATGCCCAGGTTGTGGGCTCAATCTCTGGTAAGGGGGCATTGAGAAGGCAGCTGATCGATGTTTTCTTTCACATTGATGTTTCTCTCTCTCTCTCGCTCGCTCTCTCTCTCTCCCTCCCTCCTTCCCTCCTTCCCTCCCTCCCTCCCTCCCTCCTCTCTCCCTCCCTCCCTCCCTCTCTCCCTCCCTCCCTCCTGTTCTCCTCTCTAAAAAATAAAATAATTAAAAATTGGAATGTGAAAAATGTAAACTAAAATTGTTTTTTCTGTACTCCAGGGACAACCAGGGAAGGATAAATATTATCTATTTAATAATCTCCCATGACCTTATTCAACACCATTATTTAATAAACAATGTTTTAGCAGAATTTTAAAATTTCTTTCTTAGAAATAATAGGTAAGAGAAAATTATCAACAAAAATGATAATAAAGTATGGCTTCTTTTAAAATCAGGAAAACGAAACAATGCATAAAACTTTTCACATTATAATTTTTGTTTTTTACCTTACAACATGCTTAGTTTATAAGTCTGTGTGTGTGTGTGTGTGTGTGTGTGTGTGCATGTGCAGACACACGCGCATGCGTGTGCCTGAGTGGCTATTATTTCACTTTTCCTAAACAGTATTAATAAGAAAAAATTTAAATGCATTCAACAGTTTCATTAAAAATTAATGCTGTTGCTAGGAACACCCTGCTTCTGTATTCAATGATAATATTTTAGCTCTACAGTATATATCTTGCTGGGTCTATTTTCATGTTCCATGAACTTTCAGCTGTTCTATGTAGTGTAATTTGTGGTGGTCTGCCAATGAACGGTGGATAATAGGAGGTGGTATGTCAGATTTTTGTAACCAGAGTGGAAGGTGATGGGATGTGCATTCATTGCCTTTCTCTTTGAATCATGTTGCCTTTGGAAGGACTTCTCAGGTGCTCCATCTGTCTCTTGTTCAGGACAGCAGGCTCCACATGGCTTCCTTTCCTTGATCATTACCTCAACAAGACTCTATAGCAAATGAAATGCTTTTTTATTTAAATCAGAAATTCAGTTGCATATTGTTAATCAGTAATTGAGTCTATAGAGTTATAATAGGTGTTTATTTCTTTTGGGGGTATTTTATCTCAGCAAGTTCAGTGAATTATCAGATTTTTTTTTTTTTGCCAATTTAATATATTCCTGTCACAGTAGCACACACAAAAGAAACTTTTAAGTGTGTTTTTAAAAATATCAGATTAGGCAATTAAGGTGTATTGATATTTGGATTAGAAATAGACAAGCCTGTATCTAGCCTAGCCACTTAATCATATGGCTTCATTTTAAAGAGTAATTTTATGTATTTATTTAATATATTTTTATTGATATTTAAGAGAGGAAGGAAGAGGGATAGAGAGCTAGAAACGTTGATGAAAGAGAAACATCGACCAGCTGCCTCTTGCACACCCCCTACCCGGGATGTGCCCACAGCCAAGGCACATGCCCTTGACCGGAATTGAACCCGGGACCTTTCAGTCCACAGGCCGACGCTCTATTAAAGAGTGATTTTTAATAGTTTATTGCAGAGATTGGTAAACTGTGCCCTCAATCCTACTGTTGGCTGCCTGTTTTTGTAAATAAAATTTTATTGGAACATAGCCCCTCTCATTTGTTTGTGTTCATGTCTATAGTTTGCACTACAGCAGCAGAATTGAGTAGTTGTGACAGAGACCATCTGGCCCACAAAGCCTGAAATATAGTCTGGCCTTTCACAGGAAAAGTTTGCTGACCCCTGGTCTATTAATAACATAATTTAGTTTAGTGTCCTTGGCTCCTGATTTTAAAAAAGCACACATTTTAGTGAGCTTTTGTTGTTTTGGGGTACTTAACACATAGCAAAAATGTCATCTACATTTTTCAAGGAATAATTGTAAAATATTCATCTTGAAATCTGTAATAATTTTGTATCAAGTAGAAGGCATAAGTGAAGTTTATACAAAATATTATTTCTTATCCTGTAACATTTGGAAGATTTCCTCTTTTGTGGTGGCTACGATTATGAATTAGATTGAATTAAGATGTAGCATTTTTTACTATATTAATTGTGTTTCTTTAGTTGTATCTGAGACAGAAGTTTTACTAACAGAACTGGAGCAAATGCTACAGCAAGCTCTAGAACCCACAACAACACCCGAAGAGCCTGAAGAGGAACGTGGAGAGGAAATAAATACAGGAGAAAAGGTAATATTGATAGTTATAAGTAACAACTTCAAATTCTTTACATGGCAGAGATTGTTCCTGGGTGGTCATTTTAAGTATATGGAAAACCTTTCTCACTTCTCAAATTGAGCCCTTGATTATCATGAGCTGAATGATAAACTAGTAGCCTGTTGAGAAATCAGAATAGATCTGTCAGTCTTTGAAAAAATACCCGACTTTCAGCAGAGGTGCTCTTTTTGTTTCAGATCTTTGAGGTTGGAATTGAAGAGAGATGGTAGGGGCTTGATGCAGTGAAGGGAATGCCACTAAAGAGGCCTCCGCGCTGCCAGTCTCCACAGTCAGGAGGGGCACTGGGGTTAGGGCAGCTGGGGAAATCTGCCCTGTCTGTTTCATGCATAGGGATAACTTCTATAAGGACAGACTCCATTATTAAAATACTAGATAGAATCTTTTATTGTAATACCTTTCACCATTCATATCTAGACTTGTCCTTTTTTCATTTTGGCCAACATGTTGGCCTGAGAAAGGCCACATGTCCTTAACTTTATTTAATACTTATATATGTCAACAGAAATTTAAATTGGTTGAGAAACTGCTCAGCACATGAGCTCCATGTATTGTTTCCTGTTTTTTCTTAACTCCCAGGTCATTAATACAGAGTAGCGATGTGGTAGGTCTGAAAAAAATAAGTCATATGGCAGCCACTTCCACAGGCTGTATAGCTGTTCCCTGTGTGATTAGGAAGGAGAAGGGCAGCGAGGAGACAAGTATCTTTATGGCGTTACTCATTCTCTCATTTAATCATTTAGGTAGGTAGTGGGTCTGGAGTTGAGAGCACAGTGGTTAGGAGCACTGACTCTAGAATACAGCCTGCGTCCCAGCCCTGGTCCTGTCACTGACAACTTGTGTAATTTGGCAAAATTGCCTCAGAGGATTGTTTGGAGGTTAAATAAGACAAACTGGGAAAAGTGCTCTGTGAAGTGACACCTAAGGTTAGTTGTTACTATAGGTGAGAAATGGCAATGGTGGTCACTAGAGAGGAATGCAAAGATGTCTTTATCTGTTTCCCCACATTCTCACTACTCCTCATTCCCTCCAAAATGAAAATATTGTGAACACACTTTATTGCATGATTTTATTCTGAACTTAAGCAAGAATAAAGAAGATTCTTAAACAACTCCTTTATTGACTTTGAAATCAAGAGAATGTATAGAATTTACAATTAAGGAGATCAGTGTGTTAAACAAAATATGTAAAATTAATGTTAAAAACTCTTAACTGAGTTAAAAAACAAAATGGTTTTCTTAATCAGTTGAAAATGCTATTTTTACATTTAGAGTTCCTTTTTTTCAAAAATTTTGTTTTCTGTATCTCACCTTTTATTGAACAAGATCTATAGATTGGTGATGAATCTCATATTTAACTAGAGACCTGATGCACGAAAATTCGTGCAAGAGTAGGCCTTCCTTCCCCTGGTTGCTGGCACCAGCTTCCCTCCAGCATCCAGGACCCCGTCTGGCTCCCCTCAGGCTGACTGCAGGTACCAGGGACCGGGCTGGCTTCCCTCCAGCCCCAGCTTCATCAGGAAGGACGTCCGGTCTAATTAGCATATTACCCTTTTATTATAGATTATTGTACATTTTTCTTTAGCAAATGTGCGTTTTGTTTGAGCACCATATGATTCTGTACAATGTGTTTTCAGTCTTTGCAGTTCATCTTTTCAAAAATACAGCCAGGTTGATTTTTATAGAGATGTCCTGGAGCTTTTACAGTCACAGAACTGGCTTCTGTTTTGCCATTATAACTAGTAACTTGATAAAACAGAAAATTACTTCTGATTTTTATTTCTTCAGGTACAACACATCATTTTAATACATCACCAGGCAAGAGCTTGCTTTTTTAGATTCTTGTAATATTATATGCTTTCAAAAGGCATTTAGGAATTGTAAAAATTAACCATTTTAACCCGCTGGCAGGCAGGGGAAGGCCTCCTGCCGACTGGTTTATAAGCCATTCTTCACACTGAGCTTTGTATGTCTGGCATTCACACCAGGCTCAGGGTATTTAGGGCCTTGTTCACTTTTAAGCAAGGAGAATAGCAGTGAAACCAATGATCAAAGCTGGAGTAATTTCCACTTTAAACGCAAAGAAGTGACCACCTCAGGGGTTTCTTTTCTTTCTCTCTCCTTCCCTCCCTCCTTCCTTCTCTTCCTTTCTTTCTATTTAAAATGGGAGCTGCATTTTGTTTTTAGGAAAAAGTGGCCTCTTATAAGCTAATCCACCAAAAAGAACCACCTGATAACTTTAAAGTTCTGAGCATGTTCATACTCTGAGCAACTATTGTCTGAGCTATTTTCAAAGTTGTAAATTTGATGATGTTTTCATCATTTACTTGACATATGAGTTTTCAAGTTGATTTCTTGCAAGAATCTATACTAATGGATGAGAGTAGCAACATGAAAACAGCATACATATGGAAAATCAGAATTTATTTCTATTTATCGTTGAACTACTTTGAGATTATTTTCCTCAGTGGAGTCACCTTCCTAATTATGTTCTTCTTTAGCTGATATTAAAATGGCTCGACATGTCCTAACTTGTCAAGCAATGGGCAGGGATTCATTTCAGATTTTTATAAAATCCGAGTAATTTACAAATTAGATAATCCATTTACAAAGAAAACTATTAATAATTATTTATATTATAGTATACTTTTGATATATGAAAATACTTATTTACATTTTTTCCTTTAACTTTCTGGGGAGTTAACTCAAACGAACCTTGTAGTTATAAATCGCCTATGTGTGGGCATGTTTGCATTGTTTTTACCAGTGTCCTGTCTAAACAAACTTAAGAAAACTATCACCGTTTGTGAGGAATTGAATTTTCTCATTTTCTGAGAAGATGACCACAGAAAATAGCTTTAAGTTGTACTTCCTATAATAGTTTTAAAAGTAAACAAATATAGAAAACTCACAGAATTAAAATGATCCAATTTTTTCAAAATTAAAACTAAAAGTGTAGTGTTGGGGAACAGACAAGACCAAGACCTAAGTTTTATATTAACACTAGAGGCCCGGTGCACTAGGAGTGTCCCTCAGCCTGGCCTGCACCCTCTCTAATCTGGAACCCTTTGGAGGGATGTCCGGCTGCCGGTTTAGGGGCATTAACTACAGCCATTAGGAAAATCACATAGAATGTCCTTGACATACGAACAGTGTGGTTTTATGAAGTTGTTTTAATAATAATGGCCATTCCTTTAAATAATATCTACTTACATACAATATAGCTAGTACTATGTGAATTCAGAATGTTAATATAAAAAAAAATCATAGAAGGTTATAATGGAAAGAACCTTGAATTGTCTAGTCCAAACTTTTATAAATATTGGAATTCCCTTTTCAAAGATTTTGAATGCTTTTTGTCCTAAGAAGCTCAACCAACTTTTGAGGCAACCCATTTTCTGTGGAAGGACTGGGGGATTCTGGCGGGGCTGAAGGGACTGGGCACCGCCATCTGTGGCTATGGGCATCACCATTATTGTGATGGTGTGATGATCAATTTTCATATTCCCTCTTTATTAGATTTGATTTACTAAACATTGTACTACACAAAGGGATCATTTTTTGACCACCACCATAACAGAAAACTTTGTGTAACTGCTGTGGTTCAAGACTTACCAATTACTTTATGTTTTGTTCAAATAACTGAACCTCGTCTTCAGATACAGTTGAGATAGTACTGATAAATTGTGTGGTTATTTTTACAGTTGCCTCAGTGGGACCCTGACGCTTTTGCAAGCAGTCTGTTTGAAAACCACTGTGAAGAGGACTATGTTATAATTGATGGGATAAAATTAAAAGCTGGGGAATGTATTGAAAATATAACTGACAAGTTTAAAGAAATTGAGGCTTTGATATCTGAATTATAGGGCATAATCAATATTTTCAAAAGGTAATTATAAAAACAAAGTAAAAAACTTAAAATGTTTAGTAAAATAGGTATGTATTATACCAAAGTTGATATTTGTAATAACTTTCTACTTTATATTTTGAGGCTATACATTGTTTTGAGATCCAGTCAAATTATATTAAATTTAGTGTTACAATTTTAGAATTTAAGAAACCCTAATGTTTGTAGTTTGCTTTTCTTGTTTGCCCTAAGTTTAAAATTGTGAAACTTACTGCACAAATACATGCTTTTCAATGGTTATTTAAGCCCTTTATTCAAATATGGATGTTAAGGTGGCTGACATGTCTATTATATTTCTTACAGATAATGCAAATCTAATATGTTTAGAGAATGTGTATTTGTAGTAGAATTAAGCTACTACAAAATAAAATGTAAAAATTGTTATATAATAGAATTGGAGCTTTTCTTAAAAAGCAAAAATGTTAATTGCCTTATTATATTGGAAATAATTATTTCAACCACAGTGCTCAAATTTGACTAATACTCTGTTGTGGATCTTTGGAAGATCAGAATCCAGGATCCTTTTCCATGGAACCAGTAAATCCGGAAATGGGGATGGTCAAATGTAGTTAAAAATCTAGATAGATATGTTAAACATATTCACTATAAAACAAATCTAAACTATATAAAAAGGTGCAAAGCACATCCTGCAATACCACTCTCAACATCTCCCCTGAAACCCATTCCTTAGGGATTGTCTTAGTGGGCGTTGGTCTAGATAGAGTTTTGTGCACATCATGGTGTGTGTCTGTGCACATCCACCTCTAGTTCCAGCCCTGGCTCCCCCTCTCTTCCTGGTCATAAGGGTAGCGAAAAGGACATTCCAAACAAAAGCAAGAGAGCATCTGGTACCTGCTGTTAGTTGAATTAGCTGGAGTAACATGTGATAGCAAGAAAGTAATCTACGACAGATGAGGGCTGTGTAGACAGGTGGAGGAGTTTATAACTGTAGGGACCAAGGGAGGAGTTTAAACAGTGGAATGCCTGTTCTACTTCAGAAAGATCTCATGAGCAGCAGGGTGGAGAATAGAGTTAGAGAGAGTAACCCTGGAGTCAGCAGACCAGTTAGAAGACTTACTTTGGGTATTCAGTTGTGAGATTCTGAGAACCTACTGCACAGATACATGCTTTACAATAATTATTTAAGCCCTTTATTCAAATGTGGATGTTATTCAAATGTGAAGTATGGTGGTGCTGTGATGGAGAGAATTGGATAGATTCAGGCTATATTTATACCAATTAATTATTAGGATTTAGGAAATAGATACAAGGATGAGACAGGGGAGTCAAGGACGACTCCAGGTTTCTACTATTCACAATACATACAGATTAGAAATGTTGAACAAAGACCAAGTTTGGGTCAAACTGTGACTTCAGCAGAGATTCTATGCTACTCGTGCTTTGACAAATTCTGCATCCCAATACCACTCTAAGAACGGAGTGACTAGAATAGTCTCAACATGTCATATTTAAATTCTATGTGGTATAAAACAGTGGAGATTAAGGCTTCCTTTCTTTCTTCCAGCTGAATTTGTTTCACAGCATTTTAGAAAACTTTTTCTTTTTTTTCTTGGCATTATGATTTTTTATTCGCATCCTACAAGATGTCTCAGTAATTAGTCCCATTTTTTGTTACTGCTTAGAATCAACTATAAAAATGACTACAATTGTATTTGAAAGACTTCACTAGCAATTCAAGTGTTTGATATAAACCCCCATCTAGAAGATCAATTAGGTCACTTTGCAACTAATTCCTGCTGGTGAAACAGTCAATGGTCATCAGAGTCCGATTTCACAGATCAGATACTGAAATTTCCAGATTGAATTTATTTCTGCCACGTTCTGAGTGTTACAAGTCTGGAATTTCCATTTAAGACATTGTGTACTTGAGCAGCTCAAAATAGTTCTGAGAACAATTATTTGGGTTGGTTCTGCCTTCGTTGGAAACCGCAGACTCCTAAGAAGAGGCTGGAGGAATCTCTATCAATGTGAGAATAAAGGCTTTCAAATTTCCAGATAGAATCACCCCGGAAAGGGGATGAAGGGGTAGTCAGGGCTGAGAATCCTGCCTGGCTGGCAAACCCTCCCTGCTGGTAAATGCCCAATGTTCCAAGGCAGGCTGTGTATACTGAGGTGGCATAGCAGTGGGGCTATGGAAACAGAATGCCTGCCTTCAGATCCTGGTGCTGCCATCTACTGGCTGGGAGACTTGAGGCAAGCTACTCAACTCTGAGCCAAGATTTTAGGCTTTTCATCTAGAAAACAGAAAGCATGTGGAAAACGATGCAAGTTATGACCATGATATTGTTGGCTCAGAGCATTTATTTTCTGACCACCCCTTCCATGCCTCTTCTATATCCATTGAACTAACATGCTCCTTTGGATAGAACCTAACACATCTGTTTTTGTGGGACTGAGACCAAGGACTGTGTGTGATTAGCTGACGTGTAGGACAGGCCTGGTGGTAGGCAATACCTTACAATTTATAGCTAGAACCTCTTGCTAGACCCAAGGAGAACATCATAAGGAAACTGCATCTTCACACCAAGAGAGGTTAAATTCTAAGTACACTTATTATATCAAGTTTGGTATGTGAGGTATAAGGCAATATGTCAGGGCCTTGTGCCCAGGCATTTATGTTTGAGGAGCGGCTGACTGATATTCTTTGGAACGAGTTGGGTCAAGCCTATCTGTCTACATTCTCCATGAACTTAGGGAAGGTCTGGGTCCTCTAGGAGCTGTGTCCTCAGTTAGATCTGTAGACCCTGAGGAGTTGAGCATCTCACAGCTCTGTTGTCCTACATTCCAGGAAGTCTCGGTTCCTTTGTCCTTACTGGAAGTTGAATTTGTGCAGGGATTTCCATTGGTAAAAGGCTTAGCTCTATCTTTATGGTAGAATGCCTGTGCACTTTTGATAAGTTAGTCTCTTGTTGCCACCAGTGAGGTGAAGGAAATGCACTATATTCTTGCAAAAATATGTAACATACCACAATTAAAGAACTCTAAGTACTTCTTTAGGGCTGAACCCACTCTTGATGCCTTCAACCCCGTGGAAGTGATACTTTGGTCAAGCTGCTTTAGTCTCTCCAAGTCTCACTTTCCTTATCTGAAAAATCATGATGGTGATGATCATGGTAATAATTGTCTTAACAATACTAATGTTCTAGAATTATTGAACAGAATAAAATGAGTTCCGACATGCAAGGCACCTAGCAAAATGCCTGGCACATTATGTAACTGTCATTACTATTTTTACAGTCTAGTAAGAGAGAGACCTCTGAAGCAATGCCAGAATTGGGAGGGAGAAGAGTGGGCTTGCTGGAAAGGGTGAAAGCCACACGCCGAACAAAGCTCGGAGGCGAGAAAAGCAGAAACACAAACACCCAGCCCCTAATCCTAGTAACCAGAATGCAGGGAATGGGGAGTGCAGGAGGTAGGGATTAAGGCTGTACCAAGCAGGTTGGGCTCTGCTCAAAGAAATCCTCTTATGTCAACCTAAAGGGGCAGCACCTCCTTCAATAGGGAAACCAAGTTACTATGCGGTCATGAGAACAGTGATCACTAGAATCTGCTGGTTTAAACACCCAAGGGTGCTGGGTGCTGCGATTGGCTTGGAATCAGACTATTCTGCAATGTGCATGATTGGAGAAGGAGGGTGGGGGCAGCAGGCAGACATTACTATACCAACCTGTGCCCCCTGTGTCTGAGAAAACCGTGCCCCGATGTTAGCTCAGATTGTCAGCTTCCACAGCGAGCGCCTTAGGGTCGCCAGCAGGCAGCCAGTGACTGGAAGGTTAGGTGTCTCCTCGAAGTCTTATTAAACTCTTGCTGCCTGGAAATAATGCACCATAACCACAGAGTTTTAAATGGCAAAGGATCTCTGGCTGTCAGAGAAGTTACAGGTAGATATTTTCATTTATCCTCCATGAAAGCTTAATATCATTTTCTTCTGTTCGAGTCAACTCACAGACCTCATTACTTCAAGTTTGCCGGGCAGCCAGAGCAGCCTTTTTGATTTTACCGTGCTCTCAGAATCTTGTTGGGGAAGAGCTAATGCATTTTTAAACAGGTCTAGCAATTTAAAGCTCTTAGGTGCTGTAGCATATTAACTCAGTTATTGCTAACTCTCTTAGGTAACTGTGTCAAGGGATTTCCGCTCCTGCCCTGTGAATTCCAGGAAGTAGGGGCCATATGTCCTCCTTTTGTGCTCCACCCAGACCATTGCATAGTGTCTTGATGGTTAGAGCATTTGTATTGATTTTAAATTTTATGTCAACCTACAACCTACCCTATTAAAAATGTTTTCCAAAAAGTTCTATACGCAAACACTGCTTGTTTGAACATAAGGTGGTGGTTGTAGAAAATATATACTTTTGAAAGCATATATGTAATATCAATCACATTGCTTTTCTCTTTAAAAAAATATATTTTATTGATTTTTTTACAGAGTGGAAGGGAGAGGGACAGAGAGTTAGAAACATCAATGAGAGAGAAACATTGATCAGTTGCCTCCTGCAATCTCCCCCCCCCCCCCCCCACTGGGGATGTGTCTGCAATCAAGGTACATGCCCTTGACTGGAATTGAACCTGGGACCCTTCAGTCCCAAGGCTAGTGCTCTATCCAATGAGCCAAACTGATTAGGGCTGCTTTTCTCTTATTGTAAACACATTTTAAGCCATGAAATATTGTTCTACAACCTGATTTTTAAGAAATTATTAGTATTTTATTATCTTTACATTTATATAATGAAATACTCTCTTGCTTGTTTTTATAATTATAAACCACTTTGCCATGAATATCTTCTTCCTTCCATCTTTGTGTACATTCCTAGAAATTAATAAATAAGAGCCTTACACAGTAGTAAGGCTTTCTACATCTATCATTTATTATCTTCCACCAGACCTGTATGAGAGTATCTGTTTCTCTACTATTGTGGTTTGGTTTCTACTTGAATTTCA